GCAAATGTGTATAATTTTTTTTTAAACAATCTACAGCAGTTTCTATTAAAAAAACAGTAAACTAATATATAGTAATTACAACATGTACTGAATTAAATTGGATCAAATTCCTGTAAGGGTGGCTATGAGCAGTTTAAAAAGCCTTCTCATTATGTCTTTTACTAATCAGTCTTTTTAGATTTTGTGGCTGTTTTAGATAATTGACTTTCTACATAGCCTTGCACTGTACAGTACATTTGATATAGAATTCAAAAGTTTGCATTTTATCATCAGCCGTGCAATTGGAGTACTTTGCTCAAATCTTATCACACTTTTGGTGTGTGCGGTTAATTCTACACCACTCATGCCAAATTATATAAGTTTAGTCATGCTGCATAGTTGATTGTTTCAGATGAGAATACTTAGCTTCGAACAAATGATACAGTTAAATATTAATTCCTCATATGTGTCTTTTAAACATGGTAGAAAATTTGGGGGGTGGGGGGAATGCTTTTGATAGTTACTAGGGTGGAATGGACTATGCCCAATGATCGAATAAGAAGCAGGTTTGCATATCGCAGCTCACTGTCCTGAACCATTACTTATGAACAGCATGATCCCATAAAGAAAGGTGACATACTGAAGAGTGATAAAGCAGAGGGGGAAAAAAAAACTAACCTGGTCTAAGGTTGGTCTCCTCATTAGAGAGGACCACCCACCTCAACCCAAACTGGAGAGCCCTTTAAAGAAGACATCAAATGAAAGGACTCTCCATCATATTTCTGGCTCAAATGCCCCCACGTGGAGTGCCCTCTGTTTGACGATGCCCCATTGTGCCCAGGATGATCCAAACACACTCACACACAAAACACTTCACTCACAGACGCCATTCAATATGCCTGACCAGGCATTAAGCTTTTTAAAGGTCACACAGCATTATGAGCCATATTTATCAAAGATATCTAATGCATGTTAAAATGTTTGGAAGTACATTTCACTGTCATAAGGCATTACAAATATCTCAACCAATCACCAAAATTCATAGCCAATCTGATCACATTAAGACATTAGAGCCCGACCGATAAAGGATTTTGAAGGCCGATACGATACAAATATTTTTTGGTTTTAAAATCCGATATGCCGATATATCGGCCAATATTTTTTACAATTTTTTATTTCAGAAAGGCGCAACAAAACATTAACAGATTTCCCTAACGTTAGTTATTTGTAGTTATTTATGAGTTAACCAAAATAATATGATAATGCATTTTAAAAAGAAACTTTCTATAAGTTTCTTTTATTGTCACAACAGAACAGACTGATGATAGTGGCATTAGCTAGATTTATGGTTAGCTAGTCTATGATGATCAGCAATGGATTACGTCATACTGCAAATTGTAAAACATACATTTTCAATATAACTGGCCAAGGAAACTTCCGCCAGTCACAAATTTTGTCATGCTTATTTGAGTTAAGAGAACTGATGGGGGTGTTCTTTTAATTGTTATTCAAGCAATGTATGTATCGTGAACTCAACGAGTGTTGCCAACAGGAATGGTGTAGAGTGCCCTCTGGTGGACAAACTACACAACACTCATGACATGGTTCAAGCGTGTTTCGTCCGTTTTTATTTTATTTTTGAAATATTCATGTATCGGCCATTATAACTGCCGATACCGATAGTTTGGAAAATGCCTAATATCGGCCGATAATATCGGCCTGCCGATATATCGGTCTGGCTCTATAAGACATGGTCTCAATTACACCATTTAGGTAAAAGTAATAGGAGATAAATATGAGAATAATATATCAAAGTTTGTCACACAGCACAACCTTGAATACTTCATAAGTCACTTTAATTAAAAGTGCCAAAATGTAAATGAAATGCTTGTGCAAAGACATTATTTCTTGATGTTTAATGTCACACACACCTTCCGTGTTATGTGATCAACAGCACACTTTAATGTAATCATATTTGAGGCATTATAAATGTGCAAAAGATTAATTGAAATCCAACTGGTTAATTGTGAAAGAAAAACAGAAACATTTACACAGCATGAACTGATTGAAAATTCGAATCGAATCGGTGAGAGTGAAAGCCTTGATGACAGCACATGCGGCACAGGATGATCAACTTCACTTCAACTCACACAAGAGGAAGTAAAGGGAAAAAACAGAAAGAAAGGGACGGAGAGCGAAAGAGTATGCAAATGAGTGGGAGAACCGCTGAGCTAAGCTTTAATGGCATGCCAACGTTTGAATTCGCCATGGAAGCCTTTTATATTCATGATAAATGGAAAATAAATGTTATTAAGTTCTGTGTTGTATTGGTCATTGTGCAAATTACTGAATATGTGTTTTTCCCCTCATTACATAACTCATCAGGAAGTCAGGCGCAAATAAGAACAAGCGTCACTTTCCGCAAATTGGGTGAAAAATAGAGCCTGAAACTTCAAAAATAGTCTCTTTTTCAACAAATGGTCATTAAAATGCTTAACCTTCAGAAAATGTTTGTCTGCCTCAGGGAGTCAAACTAAACATGACATGTTTTAATTTATATTAATTGAACCCTTAGACGATATAGTAAAACTAATTTGCAATAAACAACAGTTAAAACTGTTGAAATTTACAATGCATATTATGATGCATACATTCTCCTTTCACATGCATACATTTCTACTCTCACACACACACATTTACATTCTCCTTTGACATGCAGTACATACATTTCTACTCTTTTACACACAAACATTTTCCATTCATATACATTTCTGCTGTATGTCACACACACACACACACATAATATTCTTGTGAATGGAGAATATATATATTTCTTTTTTGTTTGTTTTCGGTATCCATTACTTCCCATTTAAGCAGTTTAACAATCCTGTTTTCTTTTCAAGTACAGTTTTTACTTTTTGGAGTAAGTAGCAATGAACATGAAATCACACAATTGTTTAATAATATGCTGGAATCTATTGAGCATTTATGCAGAGAAAGATTATTTTGTTCATGATAGGCTGCATTGAGTACTTTATCACATTCAAACCCTATGTGGATTTCTGTCAGTCTCAAGATTTGTTGAGGATCCAAGAAATAGAGCAGCACATTGGAGTGGATGTCTAACATGGATGTCTAAAGGTAGTGCGGACTGCTAATGAATCCAGACAAAGAATAAGATCTGAGAACAGTTATGTTCTGTTGAGGACATAGAAAAGGCTTCTTTTTTTTTGGTGGCACATATCATTTGAATTTCTGTCACACATTATATGTGCAAATCCTGAAAATCCAACAAACCATCTGCAAATCCAACAAAGACAATAATACTTTTTTTTTTTTGTTTCAGTATTGAAATAGCTGGCAGTGTGACTTCAAGTCAAAAAGTGAAACGCTCTTTCAACTAACTCACATTACACATTTATCTGATACTGTATGGTCACAGAAAATAAAAAATTGTGTATTCCACCAAATTAAACAATAGGCCTACTGACATTAACGTTTCAGTAATCAGACTATAACACTCAATTAACATAAGCTTACACCAACTCTACAAGCACTTTTAAGTATGAACTCTCTTTACAAAAACATGAGGGCTCTGAAAATATATCTCTTCAAAACAACGTCAAGTCGCGATCTCCTACACGATATCCGACAGCACGGCCGCGGACATTTTTAAGATAAAAACTATCTCGCTTACCTCTCGTTTACCATAATCACAATAATAGACGCACACCCACTTTTTTTGACGGCTGGCATATGTGTGAGAGTAGAAATGTATGTGAAAGGTGAATGTGTGTGTATGTGAGAGTAGAAATGTATATATGTGAAAGGAGAATGTGTGTGTGTGTGTGTGTGTGTGTGTGAGAGAGAGAGAGTAGAATTGTATGTATGTGAAAGAGGAATGTGTGTGTGTGTGAGAGTAGAAATGTATATATGTATGTGAAAAGAGAATGTGTGTGTGAGAGAGAGTAGAAATGTATGTATGTATGTACAGTATGTGAAAGGAGAATGTATGTGTGAGAGTAGAAGAATGAATTTTGGCTTGTGCAGCCCCTCATACAGTACATATTTAACACATTAAATAATCTTTCATTAAAATGGTACATTGGGACCAGATGTTGATTTATAATTAACAAGCATATATTTCCCAAAAACTAAATGTTTTTACTACAACAAATTGTGATCTTAACTGGAGAATACAGAAGTTTGATATGTTTGAAACTACTTATCATTCTTGGCTACTTATATTATTTTTTTTCTTAAAGGAAATTAATACATTTATTTAGCAAGCACAAATTTAACTGCTCAAAAGTAAAAGTAAAACATTTGCATTGTTACAAAAGCTATCAAATAATTTCTGTTTGAAATCCTAAATTAAAAGGATGGTTTCCAAAAAAATATTTAGCAGCACAACTATTTTCAACATTGATAATAAGAAATATTTCTTAAGCACCAAATCAGAATGAATGATATGTGAAGGATTATGTGACACTGAAGATTTAACATCAGGCGTCCATGTGTTTGTCTGCTCCCATGGGTGAATACTTATGTATACTATACATATCTGTGTGTTAGCATGGCATTTGATTTCCCATCCATGCTGAGAGTGATACTCTTGTTTAACGTTTTTTTTTCTCCTCTTTTGAACTTCACAGGTCTGCCGACTCCAATTTCCTCACAGTCAGGAGCAAGAGGGTTTTTACAGAAGCCCAACACCTGTTGTTTGTTTGGCTTACACAACAGCATGCGGCGTCACAGACAAACCTGTGGCACTTCCAACCTCTCTCCATCACACCCTGATCTCTTTCCCCCTTCATCTCTATTCAATCTCTGCCTCCTTTTCCATATGATCCATCTATGAGATGCTTAATTGTTCTCTCTTTTCTCAAATGCTAAGACTATCTAACTATATTAAATGTCTTTGTCAACCATATAAGCACATGAAACACATTTAGGTTTTATGTACTGTATATATACACACATGCAAACACTCTCTGACAAATTCGGTGTAGACCACTAACCAAGTGTGTTTGCAGCCGCCCCCTGCAGCAGACTGTTGACTCCCTGTGGCAGGCTGTAGGGTCGTGAAGGTCGTGGGGTGGTTGGTCTGGGCCTGGCATCATGGGATAGCAGCACACACACAATTAAATTAGTTTGCACTTGGCACTCATTGCATCTGCCCCAAACCGGTGTATCCCGCTGATTTAATTTCCACTCCTCTTCTGTAGCATGTCTCTCCACTGCCCCTTGAAGACCGCTCCATCCACCTTCTACAGAGAGAAAGAGAGAGGGAGAGATAGTAAATACCTCACATACCACTTACTATACACACTGTACTCCAAAACACTGCAGTTTGGGCACATTTAGCTTTTGCTTCCCTTTCGTTTTGATAAAATGTGTAGTTATACTAATAGGCCAGAAAAAAAATAAAAATACAATTCAACGATAGTAAGATAGTTGAGCAAGAATTATTCCCTGGATTCATTCTCAACATGGTGAGACAGCATTTACTGTGAGCTATTATGCTTTTCACAGCTGGAATCAGCATCCAGAAATGTCAGATGTGCCCCGATGGTAGCCATGTTCAAACAAAAAAAGCACAGTGCGTTGTTTAGTGCATTCTAAGCACTGTGCAGCACTTTACATTACTGACTGGACTGCATATTGCATTTTTACTTTTTTATTAGTTTAAAACATTTTTTTATTTATTTGTCTTTTTATTCATTCATTCATTGAATTTTAAATTGACTTTTATATGCCTTCAGTTTTCTTTTTCATTATCAGGCCTACAGCATAAAGCACTTTTTGAATTACTGAATTGAATTTAATAACACAAAATGCTTTACATAAGCTTGACAATGAGAAGGAAATGTAAAGACAAAGTACATTTGAAAATCATACAACATAAAAATAAAAACGTATTTTAAATAAAATAAAGTCTTTTCAAAAAATTGTCATTTCCAATCTTTAAATATGATTGGTAAATTGACTCTGAGAGACCAAGGGGTTTAAAACAAACATCTTTGTTCTGTAAATAGAAGAAATAGCTGATCAAATATTTATGAGTTGAGATATTTTAGGTAAGTAGGATACAAATATTGGACTTTTACAAACCACAAACAACCATCGGGGTTAAGCAGTCTCTCCACATCCACACATGCTCATTACTAGCACGCAGCATGGAGAAAATGCTCCCTTCAGGCGAAGCTCTCCGTAGAAAAAAACCCCTTTTGAACGTCTCCACGTGCTCCCTGTGCTCTTCAAACTGATGTGTTAATGCAATATTGTCTGCAAATTCAAAACTATCATTATCTCACAGTATTAAGGCAGCCGGGCAAACCAAAAGCACGAGTGATGGAGGAGAAGAGAGTGATGAGAGCAGGAAGGCGTTCCTGATCAAATGCATGGTGAGGGCGGAGGTGGAGCAGGATGCAGCGTTATGATTCCATTAATTGGGGGCTTTCTTGCAAATGACCTGAAAGCTGCAATTACCTTCCACAGAAGGGCTCCATTAAGAACATCTCGTCTGTGACACACACACCAACACACTCAAACTATTTCTTTATATTCCCAGTCATAGACTGCGAATGAGACCTCTTAGTCGCATGCAATACTTGCACAACGGTTTATATGTAATTATCTGTATATTTACACCTTTACACAAAACATACACCCATTACACAAAACATTCAATCACGCATTGCTTTTTCGCCTGCATTCCCTCTCTATTCCCTCAGCATGCGGACACACTCCCTGGAACAGATGATGACATTAGTTGCGGGAGTTGGCTGGTCTCCAGGTGTCCCGGTGTTCTGTAATATTGTCACTCCCATATTTCACTCCTCCTGTCCCAGCCTCTGTTAAAGCAAACTCAATCAACCCCTCCTCATCCCAGAACCAGCAGTGTGTGCTTTTCCATCTCTACAATATATGAGGCTCATGTTTGCTTTGGATATACAGGGAGCAGGGTACACACACCAAAGTATACTGTCTCTCCTCGGTCTGTGAATGCATCACAAGCCGAATGCGACTGTGCCGAATGTTAGTCGTCGAGGAGGCAAGAGCACATATGTGCTCTTTGTAATCATGAAGATACTGAATTTATTGATATTTATACTCTGCGTTTGGGCCAATTGCCGATCTCGGAGCCCTCCCCTCGGAGAAGCCAAATATGCATTCTATTTAATCTATAATTGTAAATGCAAACTCATGAATTAGCATTTGAATTCACCAGAATTTCAAACTATGGTGACAGCTAACGTCATTGTAGACGGAAGCGGGATTTCTCTGTTCCAGATGAGTGGGTGTGGCTTGCAGAGCTGTGCAATGTGGTGCATTGTGGGAGTTGTTGTCTTACATACAAATGCGTCCCTCGGTTATTTTCTGCCTTTTTTCGGTCAAGAGGGCATCAAATTCAAAAATTCTTTTACATTTCAACTACATATATGATCCACTTTCAAAAAAAGATTAATGTTGAAATGGGTGAAATGCACAAATGCACGTTTAATCACGAAATGCAATAGCCAGTGGCGTTTAGAATGACTGTGCATCGTTAATAAAGGTACATGACACACAACTGAACATCAGCTAAAAATCGTACCGATCAAAAGACTGTGGGGTTCTACCTCCGGTCCACTCCTGGGACAGCTTAGTGTGACCCCGTCAATCAAACACACCTGGTCTGACAGTCCAGCTGCTCTCTGTTTCTATGGGAACAGGGGATCTTGGTGAGGAGGGCATGCTCTGAAACAGGTGAGCAAAGCTGCATTCACTGAGGGAAATCAGTCAATTCATGCAACTGTTAATAAACCAATCAAACAGTCAGTTTCACCTTGGGATCATCACCTTAATATTGATTAGGTGTACAATATTTAACCAATGTAATAATTTCAGGTGTGTGAAGCAGCCAGACAGTCAGATAGTTCAGTCCAATCTGCTTCATAAAGAAGCAGTGTGGTAATGTCAAGGGCAAAAACCTGACTATGTAGCACTGTGTGTTTGCTTGTACGTGTCATAATAGGAAAAAATGGCTTAGGAGACTTCTAAGCTGCAGGGAAGCCAGTCTGTTAGAGGCTTCCACTTAACCCAAACAGATGTTCAGACAACTGTGTGTGTGTGTGTTTTTGTGCATCTACATAATATGACCTCTGACAAAGTGCAAAAGCATTTTGTGCTGATGCAGCTCTCTTGAAAGAGAAACTGTGGCTCCAGTAAAACCACGCCCCCATTTACACATTCTCAAACACACACCTCAACAATCTCTCTTTCTCTCTCATCACACACACAAACACTCTTTGTGTTTGCTGAAGAATATGGAAAATAAATGTCAGCGATCCTTCATCCCTTTCCTCTATATGCATTAAGCTGTTGTGACAGTCTTTTAGTAGTGCTGCTATGGCAGGAATTCAATACAGAATGAATAAAAAAAGGTTTAACAGCTTTTTCTCTTTTTTTTTTCTCACACAACGGGTCACCTGTAGGACACGATAACACCCAAATTGCTATTCCGCCTGCACAACAACTGAAGAATTTCAAGTTCTTTTTTAAAGTTGTGCTGAATATTCATCAATCAAAAACTGTTTTAACACACTATTGACCACTGATATGCACTCAAACGCACCTTTCGGATACTAATTTTGTGATAATCTGATTGATAATTTGGATTTAAAAAAAATAAAAAGCAGCCATTTGTTTTTTTATTCACTGGTAATCATATTTTATAAATTCAGTAGTTTGATTTAGATAACAAGATGGTCAACTAAACTACAATACAACAAGTATGCCTGTAAGCCTGAAAGAAAATTCACAGGTCATCTCTCATTTTTTCCCCATTCACAGCACAGATTCAATGGAGGGCAAAGTGGGACTTTTGCTCTAGCCTTCTACTTCTCAGAATTGACTCCAAAGAAAACATCTGAGTAATCACATGTATCATATGTGTATTTTCTGTGGCATGGTAACAAAATATATCAGTACTGATATATCATGGTCAATAAATCAATCACTCATATCAAGACAGTGCAACCTAGGCTATGCAATGAGTATTTCATGACAGGTTTGTGTGATGAACAGTTAAAACATTCCAAAACATTAATTAGGTCTACTTATCAGAAAAACTTAAGGCAGTAAAATTGACTGACTCACTCACTCCAAAATATGCACTAAAAAAAAACTAACATTGCTTCTGTTTGCTGTCTTGGTGACATTACACAAAATAAGTCTTGAATTAAATAAAACAGACCAATATGACTTATTAAATGTGAAAAGCAATCGTGTTTTATAAATAATAAAACTGCCTGCTTTGTGTCATTTATAAATGATGTGGGCCCACTGATAATGTCCCCACAGGAACATCAACATTCTGGCAGCTCTTTTGTCTCCAGAGATAGGGTTAATAATAGCACTTGCACTTGATGATAATGATTGTAGAGTAGGTTTGCATGCTCTCTCCATTTGAGGTGAAGCAACATGATTTATTTATTATCAATATAGTCTAAATGTTCAGCACATACAATTAATCCTTAAACAAAAACTCTGAAAAACCGAGATGGTAAAAAATTCTCAATACACTTGTCAGTATGACTAAGAATCAGTGGTAACATATATGTCCAGATTTCCACAAATCAACAGTACATTTGAGAGAAAGGGCAGAGGGTCATCGGGAAGGCGGAGGTGTTACTGCAAGAGATCTATGTGAAGATATAGTAAAGTTGGGTCGGTTATGGTCTTCTTCTTTTTTTTTGTGAATTGGTAAAACACAAGAGGGTGAGGTGGTGAGGAGAGAATTGAGGGATTTCAGCTGAGCTACGGTGGGGCGCGGGGTCGATTTCATAGCAGGAGGATGCAGTAATTGCTCGCGGGGCCTTAATGAGTCCGGCGGGCCTGAAGCACAGCTCTTCATCCAAGAGCCAGACAGGTGGTCTGCTCAGCCTAATAGGGAAGGGACTAGCCCCTGATGTGACATCAAACCCAGCCTCTCGCACCTGCCACCACGGTGTGTGTGTGTGTGTGTGTGTAAGCATCAGACAGGACTGAAGCAAGAGGAAGAAAGAGAGAGAAAACATTCAGTTCCTAATAACTCCCCTTCAAGCACCCTTTTTGGCGGCCTGACAACAAAAAGCATAATCTATATTCTGTCTGAACTGTGAGATACAATTTTATAAACTCGACTTGCTCACCAAACACCCAGTCGGCTGATATATCTGGTATCCTTTGTCCCAATAAATTTGTTTAAACACCTGAACAACTTTTTATGGCTCATCGTTAATGA